GACACCGCGCTTCCCGCTCGGCGCGGAGCAGCGTCGGGCGCACAACAGTCCTTCTGTGCCCCGGACGAGAAATTTTCCTCCCTCGTCCCCGTCCCCCTCCGCGAGGTCCGTCGCCGAGTATTTTAGACACGAAACGGAGATTCGATCGCGGCGATGCGCGCCTTGTATATCGCCTACGCTCTCGACGCCGTCGCGGTTTTCGGCCCAAAACCGCAGGCCGCCTCGCGGTCGCTCCGTTCTCGCGCGGTGGGTTTTATCCGAACGAATTTTACATTGTGAGGGACTAATTTCTCCCTCGTCCGAGGTATGCCGTATCGATTTCCGAAGGTATTGAAATATCGCTCGCGGGCACCAGGCGTAATCTTCACGGAGCGCACGGAGCGCGGGAAGAAGAGGGTACCGCGGCGAGGCGGGTGGGAAGAAAGGACGGCGAGGAAAAAAAGGAGAGAGGGAGAGGAAACCGAGTGGCTCTCTCGCAGGAAGAGAAACGGTCGCGCGGAGGAGCAACGGGAGAAAGATCAAGAAAAAGAGAAGGAGTGAGAGACAGGTAAGAGGCGCGCTCGCGCAAAGGTTGACCGAAGCCTAGCTGGCCTGGTCGGTTTGGCCCCGTGGGAACGCGTTGGTGGCCAGCTGCACTGATTGCCATGAGAGGACGTGACGTAGCGTCGTCGGGCCGCATACATACGCGCGAGCGCGCGCGCGCGCGCACACACACACACACACACACACACGCATACAGAAGCGGAACGTCATACGCCTGCTCGCCCGTGCGCTCGCACTTGCGCTTGCGTGCCGTAATTGGCGATGGTAGTGGTGGATGGTGAAGTCCGCGGTGCCACGGTGGGGCCCATAGGGGGCTCGGTGCGCGGAGAGGAGCGGGTCGGGGCGAAGGCGCGAGAGGAGGGGGCCGGGGGCGAGGAGGGACCCGGCCCGACCGCCCGGCCGGCCCGGGTAGGCGAGGAGCGGCGGGGAGGGGACGGGGAGCCTGCATTCCAGAGAGGCGCCGGCCAGTCTGCGGCACACCTGCGCGTTCGGTTGAATCACGGCGCCTCCGACATAACCCAATCTCGTCGTCCTTCTCCGATTCGTTGCGTCCGATCCCCAAGCCGCTCGGCTCGCCGCCGCGCCGTCCGTCCTCGTCGCGTTCGCGCGACTATTCGCGCGGTTCTCTTTCTCTCTCCCTTTTGCGCCTTCTTTCTCTCCTCTCTCTCCGTCTCTCTCTCTCTCTCTCTTTCTCCGCCGCCCTCCCTCGACCTCGTCTTTCGAAGGCATCAGTCTCTCTCTGTCTCTCACCCTTTCCCACTCCCTTGTCCTCTCTCCATTTTGTCCAACTGTTTCTTTCCGACGCCGATTTTCTTCCTTTTCTTTCGGCAATACGGAGCGACCGCGTGTTTCGTGGCGCGAAGTGCGTGGCGACCTATGGGCGATGTGTCCCTGTCGCTCCCCTCTTCTCCCTCTCTCTTTCTCTCTCCGTCCCGAACGTTCGCCATTATTGCCCGTTCCATTTTAAGCAGCGGTTTCTCTCCCTCTCTCTTTCTTTCTCTCACACAACACCACTCTTCCCTTCGATCTCCGATTCCCTCCTTATCTCGCGCACGAGAGCGCGGACCTACGTGGGTAACATCCTTGGAGTTCCGCTCCTCCGCGTTCCGTGGGAGGATCGATCGCGAGTACCGCGGGAGAGATGTCGAGTCACACGGCGGAGGATGGCGGGAAGGGGGAGGGGAGGGGAGGGGGGAGAGGGAAGAATGCCGCCGGGGCCAGGCGAGATGTACGGCTTGAAAGACGACGGACGGACCCCGCGGTAGGGTAAGCCGCCGATCTTACGTGCAATCAGCGGCGCGCAGGTGTCCGCTGCCGTCGTCGTCGTCGTCGTCGTCCGTCCGGTCTGTGCGTCTCTGTCGGTTGCCGCAATCTAAGCCGGCCACCGTAGCGACGTGGCTCTACGAGCCCCG